ATAATAATAATATTGTACACTATATACGTCTTAACGTAAATCGTTTTTGTATTTTTCAAGATCCTTTTTGATTCTATGAAAATTCGCATGAAATACATTTTCCAAACACAGTTCAATACTTTTTCATCAATACCATTTCATAATAACAATAATAATGATATGATTGCTTTTAAACTTTAACCACGTTTGGATGTCAGCGATCCTGTTTTATCCGGTATATTTCATTAGTATTTAAAATATTAATATATGATAAAATATGATGCGTGTAAATCAAACGCGTACCTTCGAGTTGAATAAGAACTTTAACGCCACTATATTATAATTCAATAAGACTACCGGTTGGTTTTCGAGAGATTTATTTTTTTTTTTAAACATGTGAGTTATACATGTATATTATAATATAGTATTGTGAAGGGTCTCTGATTGAATACACAATATGAGAAACTCGATTCTTATATTATTACTATTATTATTATTATGGTACCTCTACGTTAGCCTTAATAAACGCACGATAACGTCCGTCTTAAAAGAATTACAGAGGACAACGTAAAAAAAAAATCACCGTGGTCGAATTAAAAAAAAAAATAACGATATAGGACTGGTGAATTATCGAAATGCCGTGCCAACAGAGTCGTTTTAATCCGGGCGCAATGGGTACACTCTTATTATTTGAAAACAAACCGTCGTATGATCCATTTATGTCTGTTGGTGGTCTATAGCTGTTCCGATATTTTATATTATATAGTGACAGCAGGCACACGTGAATGTGTATTTAAAAAAAAACTATTTGGAATTGATTTTTTGAATATTTTAACTTTTAAATAACGTTCGGTCGTTGAGAAAAACCATAATTCATAAAACTCCTAATATACTACATATTGTACACGTCATACTCTTTGTATAACTAGAGTAAAGAGATATTATTATATTCTTATTAACACTGTTTAATGTAAATTATTTATACATATGCCTACTCGTAAAATACAAGTATCTCGTTTCGAAAAGACATCTATCGTCCCTGCATTACACAAAATATGAGCAAAAATAAGAATAGTATATTTCCATTATTACAACATATATTGTCGAGATGTTCATTTTAATAGAACAGTTTGATGTAGTAAATTATTAATGTCATTTATAACAATTTAAATAAAAGGGGAAAAATGTATTGTTGGTATTGTATTATATTTGTTTTATAATATTCTGAAAGAGTTGTTGGTTTTTAGTTCAAATATTACTTTTATTTATAAATAAAATATTTAAATATTATACAGGTATAATTTATATTATGTTTATTATCAAAGTTATTAACTGTAGTACTTAAAATAATATGAATTATGGTTAAAAAAATATGATGAAAACAGGGGCGCTACATACCAAAATTACTTAAACTGACTTGTCCCGTGTACAATAACGGTTTAGCGCTACTTTTCCATCGTAGACAAATGAACATGAATAAATTTCATTTACGAATAAAAAAAAAAAAATTGTAATTTGTTCGGATTCATTCAATTGTTAAGGGTAGGCAACGAGGTTATTCAACTGTGGCAACAGCATTGTTGTGTTAAAATATCAGAAAGTATCTGAATCGAAAACCGCTCAACAGCCACAGCGACGTTCGGTTAAAACGATTATTTCATCTCGTCACAAATATTATAAATTATATAAAAAATAAAAAAAACATTGTTAAGCTTTTTATCTCGGCCGCATCTCTACACGTCCTACTTCACCGCCGTTCCGTCTCGTCCAATTATTATTTTTTTCTACACTTTTTTTCCCACAGCCTAAAAAATTCGTCGAGATTAAATTTCCACTTCTGACAAACACATCTGAAGTCTGAACTCATTCCCACTTTTCGACAATTTGTCGTCTCCACTTCACGTTCACCAGACGTATTTGCCTTTATTCGCAAATCACACAGCACTATGGTCATAATGTAAGTAATAACATTATAATGTAATATAAACAGACATAAACCAAAACGGGCGCTGTGTATTGGTATTTTTGCTTTCCTCGTCGGTCCCACATCTACATTTTCATTTCACACACTACCACACTATCTTAAGTAAATATATATAATATGTGTGTGTACATTATATTGTACGGCCAAGTGCAGTTAATCTACGTTTTTTGTGGAAGATTTACAAGAAAGTTGTTGAGAGAGATGTCTCGCGTTACTAGTTTTTTCACAAACAGACCTGCTATAATAATACTGTGTTATAAACCACTTGATTTAAACAAAAGTAACATAGCTTAAAATATCCTAATATGATTGTCATATCATATTTAATTACAGTTTATATGTTAACTCTTTGAAGAGCAAGAAATGTCACCAGTAAAAGACCGTTAAGGGATATGCTAAGAATGATAAAATCAGAAAATGATTAGACAAAAAAAAATGTATGTAAAACTGAGAATTAAAAAAAATAGTATTTAATCGCATGCTGTAATGGTGCGTGTTTAGTTGGCAATTTGATGTGATCATCATTTCTAACCAAAGCCAAATGTGTATATAAGTGGTTATAAACTTTAAACACCACCCCTAAAAGGCAATAACAAAAGTGGTTAATATACTAACCACCGATCCTCAAAAGGTTAGATAAAAAATTAATCGCTTTGCAATGATAGGAAGTGATGTGTATTTAAGTGTTTATAACTCATTAGACTATGTCATTACACTATGGCAACGCTGGTAATAGAAGACAAAGGTGAAACTGAGTGGAACGAATGAATTAAAGTTTCCCGAGTATTGCAAGTTTCCCGAGTATTGCTGAAAAGCTAGTGGAGATTTTGTAGAATTTTTGTTTTTAGACAGAAACCAACATTTTTATAAATTTTCAATCAGTTTTATTTTGATTAGATTACCGATTAAAATTTTTGTTTGCTAAAACCGAATAATGCGTGATTTATAAAATATGAAATCCTATTAACGGGATAATGAAGTGCTTTGAAACTATATTGTTCTATAATATAAATCTGAAGGTCAGTATATACCTGCAGAGAGAGACCACGCCGCCAGCCGAGTGTTTATTTATTTTATCGTGGAAACAATGGAGATTAATGACGTTTTTATGTACGCACATGAGTATAACGGCAAACAAATCAGGCATCCACACTCGAACTTTGTGTAACCGGCTAGCAGATATTATTTATATGTATATATACATGTTATTATAATTCCAATAATTGCTGGCATATTGATAATTGCGATTTACAACACTATAGGTACACGCGCGAGTAATGGCTAGTGTGTATAATGTTATTATGAGAGCGATCAAAACAAAGTTTGTCACTCGACCGGCATAAATCGTACTTACGGCATTGCACGGCTATCATGATGATAATAATAATATTCGAATGCCGAGGAAAATATGATAATTTATGCGCGCCAAATGGATTCGTTTCTTGTGACATCGTAATTTTCTTTACACGCATTTAATAATTGCTAGTAAGTGTTTTTTACGACCCGCAATCGCATCACCCGCTGCGCCTGTACTTGATAATATTATAATAATAATATATTATTATTATTATAGTTTCACTCGTTAGATATTATACCACCACGAGGAAAAATATTTTGTTGGTTTGTAGGTATAGTACGAGACCATCGACTCTGTACACGAGAAGCAAAAGGGTCCAAGTCCATTTTTATTAAAATTGAGAATATATGGTATAAAGCGAGCTACAGCTGATAGTTTTGGAGATATTATACTAACAAATTATGATCCAGGACCGAAATAGTCATCGCTGCAATGAAAATACAATATGATTTAAGTCCCAAATATTTTATCAATACTAACGTAAAAAATTACTAATGTTAAGTCCAACATTTTTCAAGAGCAAAGAGATCCTAATCCCGACTATCTTAATAATAGTAGTATTAACATAACGCATTTACATGGCTAATGTGTAAATAATGTGGCTAATAATAAATAAGACAAAATCAATCTATCACACTCACTATACAAATACTAATTGGTGTAATAACACATCAGCTATTCAACTCAAAACGATTCGTTCAATTTGTTTAAAACTTAAGGGGAGAGTTCAACGTTTTACCAAAATTATCGGAGATGACTGGGATCTATTTTACAAGCCTCGCTAAAACGTCAGATAGTATTTTTACACGCCCACGCTTCGTTGCAATTGATAACATAATATACTAACAAGCGCGTACGACGCCTTTCAGTAGTGGTCACGACTGGTCTATTAACTGACATAAACATATACTTGGTTGTAGGTTAAACGCCCGTGTACCGCGGCTCAAGTCCAGTCAATTGCGGCAAAGCTTATCCGACGTTTTATTAAACGGTATAATCGTTTTATTATCGATATCGGTGGTGTCTCCGTAATGCCCCCGCGATTTATATAGCCGTTGCAATACATCATTGTCATCGAGGAGGAAAATAACAATTCTAATACGACATACCATGGGCTGTAACAGCGGTTGTATAGTCGTGTATGCACCGGACGGCACACATAATGATATACAAAATAAGGCACAAAACTAGCTTTCCCGCAGTGGTTCGTCCGGGTCTCGTCTCTTTTACTCTTGTTAGGTACCACCAAAATGTTATTCGGTCCACAAAAAAAAAAGGGGGCTGACGACGACCCCGGGGACGTTTCCCCGGTTATTATCAACTAACGTGGTCCTCCTCCTCCTCCTCCTGGTACATATTCCCCGTGCCAGAGACATGCCATTAAGATCCGTGAGCCGATTAAACCTATCTGGGCGTTGATTTCATATAGCACATAGCACGTAGGACGAGCTATTTTTATAGTTTTCCTTCGCCTCGTTTCGGTCGCTTCAAGTATTGTACACTCGGACGATTCGAGTTCACCTGTCAATGAGATGTACGCACACAACGTCAAATCAGTCACTCCCCGAACGCTTGACGATCTAATAAATCTTTATCTACATGAACAATTTGCAGCATTATAATATATATATATATATATATATATAATAATGTTTAACGGTATCCGCGTGTTTTGCGCAGGAGGATCTCCTCATACACGGCGACAGCGTGTACGACATGATCGACAAACAAGACCACCAAGCCGTTCAGACAGAACTGTCGAGGAATCAAACGTCTGCGGAGGACCAGGGTTGCAAGCGGATGTTCTTGTGCCGGATGAACGTTTCCAGGAACGCCAGAAGACAAATGAGATTCGGTGACCAAAAGGTAATTTATTATTATGTAAATAATTGCACTGAAATACATTGCACGTGTATTCATCAAGTTCTAATGTAATGCATAGATAAGTCATAGGGCCTTAATCGATCTGAATTATCAATGCATATCACTAAAACACTCTATACCCGTTACCCGCTAACGTTTTATGTCGGTAAACAATATGTAATTATTATCAATTATTTAGTAGACATTCGTAGGATCCGACTAAATCATTATCTACTATTAAAGATTCAGCATGTTCTATTTAAAAGAAACTAATAAATTCCCGTTACTCTTGGCGAGTGTACAAAATATCGTTTCTAAAAGAAAAAGTAATCATGTCGTTTTCCAATTTCAAAACGTATACGCACGGTTATTAGAATCTAATAGAAATAAGCCGTTATTAATGTCTACAACTTTAAGTGGGTTGCCTAGATGATCGTAGACATAAGGCGGACCTCTCCTCTTTTTATAAATCTTCATTCTGACAGACTATTCTGTTAGTTCTAAAATCGAATTAGTCATTTATTATCAGTTCCATTTTTTACCTCAATTTTGCTTCTTACTGAGAGCACTACACCTCTGTCAACGCAACGATTTAATACTTTAACGTGTATCGCCAACTTGAAACCCATTTTTTTAAAGTATAAATACATCATTACCTTAAATTATTATTCGTATACTTAACGTAATATGTTAGTTAATATATTATATTATTTATAATTGTGTGACCTTTATGATTTGGTTTAGATAGTAAAATCGTTTGCAATTTACATAAACACAGTTTTGAACTATGGCCAATTTTTTAACATAAAAAGACGTTAAAAATGATTTTCTTATTTTAACGGTAATATCGTCCTGTTTTGTTTTACTAAGGTTGCTTGTATGTTTGTTTCTACAGGTGGTTCTTGTGCAGGGTCATTACCTCTCCTATCTGCCACTGTGCAGCAGAAACGAACCAGTTTTTCTAGCCACTTGCAGTCCGGTGGCGATGCCAGAGACCAGGGAAGCCGTGGTCCAAGGTTCCACAACAGTGTTTACGGCGATCCACTCAATGGATATGAAGTTCATACACGTAGACAAAATGTATGTAAAACACTTAAACACCATTAGACGGGTACAATGTTATTGTTTAAGACGCGTCGCCATGGGTAAGATCAACAGTAGCCGCCGAACCGTAAACGCGGTTTTCCATTTTTTTTTTTTTAACAGATTTACCTTTAGCGAAGTCAATTTTTTTTTTTTATTAGTTAGAGCAAAGTATATATTGGCGGCTACTCAGCGCGCCCTAAATTATTCATGCGCAAAAGCGTCATTAATATAGCCGTGACACGTTTCTTGTGTGCATGCTGGTCCGACTCCGGGGAGGAGAGGTTTGTTTTGGAGGGCGCCAATTATTAAAGAAGGGGGTCGACCCGAGCACACAAATCATCGGCACCGTATTTCGCCAATTATCTCGTTAAAAAACAATTATCGAAAATACCATATCCGGCATCGTGGTAATAATTAGAGACCGTAAACGCCAAGACGATGTGCGTGGACCGGTTGTCGGCCGCCTCCGCCGCCGGTCGGAACGAAAAGAACGAGATTATATTTTATTGCCTTCGCAACGAGTGTGTCATATTAAAAGACTACAGGCGACTGCGCGGACTTACAGGGGTGAACAGCTCTTAGGTGATTAATAGCGATTTTATACCCGGCCCGGTGTTCGTCGTCTGCTTCGTCTCACAGTTTTCTTATATACATCAACCATTTGTCGGGTATCCCCGTCGTGTGGGCGAGGTCGGCCGACGAAAACCAAAGCGATCCAGTCGGCAACAAGCTTTCGTCGCGCATCCACCTTGCATTAATCACGTCACTGCCGCACAAACAAATTATCATTATCGTTTTATACATTAAGAGCGCCGGTAATAAATATCGACTATACAGTATAGTCTAAAAACGTTTCTTACTCGGTCGGGATCTATTATATACCTAATCACTGGTATATTTTACAACTAGACAGCCTAGTTCCTATAGCAGCAATATCGAACACTGGAGTCGGGAAAATGACCAATCGTTCTTATCAAATATTTCTAGTTGATAACATTGAAATTACTCACTGGCAGTTAAGGGGCCTGCCGACTGTGATTTATTAAGGAGTATTGTATTGGCAACTTTTTACTAAAACTTTACATTTTTCTAATATTTGTAAACATATATATATAATTAACACAGGGAAGATGGGTCTATTTTTATATTAACATTTTTTTTTCTTCTATTATTTTTAAACTTCTATAGCCTTTAAAGGCTCTATTTTTGAACAAAGTATACCCTTGGCACTTTCATCATCCTGTGTTCACATGAAGTCCGATTTCCATTCTACAAAAAAGTAATCACCTCTTCTATTGTTAGTAGTATCGTCTACTTTTGCTTATTATTTGTTTTTATTTTAAAATAGTTTTTGTCAAACAAAAAATAAATTGTTTAGCTATTCTAAAATATTGGAAAATAATAATAGCTTAAATTCGGTACCACAAACCACAAAAGAGATGATGAGGTATTCAAAACTTTTTCCAGAATGGACATCGGGCTTCATGGGAATACAGAATGATGAAAATACCGAGGGCCCAATTTTATATAGTCGCAAATCCCCATGTATACGTTCATTGTAAAACTATGATACTATATTATATTAAGTCAACTGGTTTGAATTTAATAATTCTTAAGTTATTTTTTTACTTTATTATGATCATTTTTATATCATCCTACATCCTACATCATCAATAATCACAATGTACTCAAGGGGTCTTTTTTATAAGAAATGTAGGCCATTTTGGCAAATGAGGTAAGGGGTAGGAGCCTTTTTTGTGTACGGATCCATAAATTAATTTCCCTGCGGCTTACCCTATCTGTCACAGAATGGGGTCGTAGATATCACCGTCGATAAGCTATCAAATAACTGGACCGACAATAAATATCAGTTATTTAAATCAAACGTAGTGTACCTAGCGTTTGAATCGATCATAGTTGATCAAAATCCGATACAGTGTAAGATACTATGTTATCCGGTCCAATGTAAAACCAACACCGCAGTATACACAGCAAGAGTGTTATAATATTATGACTCGGGGCTATTGTGGCTTTTAAAGTATAACCTATATAGTCACTACGGGGGCTATGTTGTTTTCCGGCCGCGGTTGTTGCAGAACGATCGCCACAACACCCCCACCGCCCACGATCGCCCAAAAGTAATTACAACTGAAATATATGTCGGATACACGACTTTCTCGATTCGTAACGCGGTGAGAATGATTTAAATAAAAAATGAAATCTCGATATCGATCACAAACAACGCCTACAAGCCAACCAGTTTTTCCGTTCGTCCAACGCATACACAAATATGTACATAATATAATGAAAATAAAGTATGTCTAGTTCACATTATTTGTGCTAAGTACATAAACATTATTCAAAAATAGAATATGACTTCCACGTGTTTTATTTCTTGTCGACCCGTGTAAAACAATGCGAGTGAGTAAGACAGAATTTACAATAGATATACTCATTCTAGATATCCAGTATTATTATGTACCTATGAAATTTACATTATACCTAATCATAAAAGAAATGATAAAAAAAAATGTACTTACGTTTGACGATTAGAGTTTTATGGTTTCAAGACAATAAAACAAAGCCTAATTAATTCGCAGGACTCCGCCCGGAACAATTTTATGGTAGACATATGAATTACAATCTGAGAGGAAAAAAATACTACGTGGAATAAGGCATAAATAGTACCCTTAGGAGGGTAGGTTGACTTGTAAAAATAATCGAAAACGACCGATATAAGTGTCAAGTCTATAGTTGAATAAATACTCGCACAACTGGTATTAGAATTTAGATGTATATTATATTATTAAAGCGCAACAGTGCGTAAGACAACATTAAGGCGAAATTTAAATCTTTACTCCTTCAACAGCTGTGATGTATAGTTATCAGGGAAGTTCTAGTTGAATCTCCTTTCGTCAACGATGAAAAATGGGTGTCACCTTGGCGCGTTTTTTAATAAGTCATGAATTGATTTTTTTTTTACATTGTGTATTTTATTATAATATTTCGTACCGTATTTGCTCGCACTATTTAAATAACCTTGTCTCATTGAATTGCGTTTTATTTCCAGAGGAGAATTTCACTTGGGGTTTTCCCGCGTAGAGCTTCAAGGTGTTTCGTGGTACCAACTGCTACACTGGGAGTGCATGCGAGAGGCCCAGAGTAAACACAGGCTGAGTGAGTATACCATAACATCATACAGACATACATAACGTTATAACGTGGTCGGTACGCCCGTGATTAACTGCCCATGAGGCGTCCGCCCCGAAAACAATGAAAATATAATACTATAATATGTACCTAATATTAAAACAAAACGGTCGGGCCACCCGTGTGGTATATGAATAAGATACAAGTATAATATTTTGATCAAGTGCCGTACAACAATCGACTGGTACTGAAGGGAAAAACAAAACTTTTAAAATCAACTTATACGCCTATGGTTAATATGTGTGCGCTGTGTACACAAACAACAACATAATTATTACAATAATAATGTGTGTTTGTACTTATCGGTTGCAGTTACACAATCGGAACAAGACCGTTCTTGCATACTGTTGGCCAGGGTACAGAAAAGGGCCACAGGGGACTGGCTTTGGATACACTGCGTGTTGCAGGTCAAAGACAACATGGAAAACAGCCAACAGCCAGTCATCGTCAGCACAAATCAAGTACTTACGTAAGTACGAGACACATTGCAATTGCTAATTCACTATTATTGTTCTCTATCATACTGGCAAAAATACTATTGCCGGTTTTACATATCGTCGGCACGCGTCTACCATACAAATGTTCATATATTTGGCTCAAATATTTATAAAGTGTAACTTAAAAAAAAAACCAGCACATTAGAGTCGGGACATGTGAACACAGATCATGATGAGATCGGTATAGCCAATACAGACATGTAGGAATTATTATATCAGATAGTGATAACGTCACTATCAAACAAAACTCTTAGTTGCCGATCTGTACAGACGGTTGAATTAAAAAATATCGATAAAACCGTTGCAACATATTATGCTTAAAACGGTATTTCTTGTTAAGGGTCGATACGGTTGATCATATAATAACTATAATTTACTGCCGTCGTTACTCATGCACCGTAATAATTAAAATATTTTTCTGATACCTGTTTATTCATTCACACATAGCCTCTCGAAAATTCAGAACGGACAGTGTTATTTTACTCTTTTTTTTCTTCTTTAATAATAACAAAAAAAGTTTCACTACATATTTTTAAGAAAGTTGTAAATGTTTGATATATTAACCTCACTTTAGATCTACATTCAGTCTAATTTTCAGACCTTAAATCCCAAAACTATACTAGAAAAATTGAAATTATTTGTTTTGATTCAAATTACACTCGAATGGGATAAATGGTAACGATTTATGTTTTTATATACTTTTATCCGTCTGAAGATAATGAAAGTCTTCCATTTTGACTAGGTACTGTAACGCGCCTCTGAGATCATTAAATAGTTGGAATTACAGGATAATATGTTCGAATGGACGGTCATGGAAACAGCATGAACGTCACCTTGTGTATTATTTTAATAGTAAATACCTCAAATATGGTTTAAATGATAACAAAACTCGAGTTAAAATCAAACAAAAAATTTTTATTTTTTAATCCGATCCCGTTATTTTCGAGTAATAAAAGCATGAACCAAGTAAGTGCATCGACACTCATATACAAAGCTGTATTTAGATTAGGAAGGATGCCCTCGGTGGACGACCCGGCGTTAATTCAAACTGGAATGCATTGTTTGAATATACGGTTTTTCTTTTTTAATCGGAACCGGAATGAGCACATATTTATACATGCCTACATAGAACGTGTAATATTATTTATGTCCGAAGAGAAATCCAAAACCTTTTACCAATAAGCTTCGAAACACATAATATAAGTACAATGAGCGTACCAGATTCCCAGCAGTATGAGTGTATGTAATCCGTCAGTTATCAGTAGGTTATAACTTATAAGTATTGGGTTCGAGAGGCCGCGACTTATGTACCTATCTTAGTCTACGTCCATGACGTCGAGTTTTTATGATGAAATTGCATGCATTACATTGTATTGTACAATACTACTATAATTGTGGTGTACTATTGTGTTAACATTTAATGTTACTATGATCGCCACGGTTTACGATAATATTATCTGAAATTGTACTTATCACAGGTAAATTACGGAAGCAGGTTGTCAAAAAACATAATTTTTATATACGTACAATTGCCATTGGAAAACTGAAAAATTGCAACCTTTGTCAAATCAATGTATAGGGAACGGTTCCTCTGTGACATTACTCTATGGCCGGGCGTTAAAGTCCCTGTAGAGAGATAGAGAAGTTACCTATTGTGCACTTGGACCGAGACAAGATAAAAGACAATTCATACACGATAGCGGAATAAAGACGTATTTATAATAATAATATCCTATCGTGTGTAATTAATATCGTGTCTCGGAGACATTAACACGTTTTCATAACACGGCGAGTAGGTACGCGATAAAAATATACGATTTATTTCGTTAGAAGACAGAAAGAGTAGAAAAAAACATACACATATATATATATATATATATATTGTGTATGTAAGTATATAATATATGTTATTGACCGTCGTCCGGTTTACACGACCAACGTATCCCTGGTAACCGCAACCGCCGTCAAAGCTAAACCATTTTTCTGCCACGCACTCCGTGGCCCCCCCATACATACGGTATGTATTATATATAATATAATAATAAACACACTTGTCCCGAGACAAATGACAACGTTATAACAAGTCCGGGGCGTTTTGACAGGGGCACTAACGATCCCGGAGAATTTATTGAAACATGTATATAGTTGAAAGGGAAAAAAAACCGTTGCCCTCTGCAAAATGTCAGTATGTAGAGGTACGAGTGGAGGTGTTTAAATACGCTTGTCAGACTCCTTCTATATATACCAGTACTCATTATTATTATTACAACTACTACTATTATTATTATTATTACCATTATTGTTATTGCCGGTTCATTTGTCGATCGATTTGCCGTCCCGTAGGTCGTTTGAGGTTTTTTACGACAAAAAAAAAAGTTTAAAACGCTTACACGGCACAAATGGGAATAACAAAATAATAACAATGATTACGATCGAGGAAACCCGTGTTAATGGTCGATAATAAAGTTAACGAGCCGGATTAGGAGAAGAGTGCGTGGACAGGTCGGTGGGTAGACGGTGGTTAGGTTGGTCGGTTGATGCTGTTGTTGCTGTTGCCGGTGACAAATTACCTAGTGCTAACAACGGAAGCCAATGGAAATTACCGTTGTCGTGGGATACAAATAATAATAATAATATACAAAACGGTTGTCGCCGTTGCCGAATGTCCGAAAAGACCACATCGACAGACTAGGTACATAGTCATATCCGAGTAAAACAATTATAGGAAACCCACGCTGACCGAATGGGTGTCCCTATATAAAGACAGTATGCGCCGCTGTACTCACTAACTATAATATTATGTTTTTTTTTTTTTTTTTGAGACAAATCGGTTTGAATTGTTCGTTCTTCGACGTCGCATCCATCATTTTCCCATAGGAGAGACAAATCACAAAAGGTTAAGCAGCAATTATATTTTCCAAACGGCACGGGCAGTGCTTAGCTTTCTCCAATAGTTGATTTCTTTTACAGATTTATAAAAAAATAATATTTTTTCATAATTACTAATTTAACGCGTCCATCGTGTAGAGGGAAAAACTTACTACAAGTTGACTCTTCTATCTGTTATATATGTATATGCTAATAGGTAGTAAATAATGTCACTATTTACTATTAAAAATTTTCTTCACGTTACATTTTCTAGTTTAAAAATATGTAATTATGTAATTCGTTTTAAAAAAGACGCGTCTAAAAACTTAAAACTTTATAACGCTTTTGTCAAAAGTTACAAATAAAAGATTAGTTCGCTTGTAGACACATATACAACATTTAAAAAAAAATTATTATTACTAAAAACAAACAAATATGTTGTAAAACCACAATAAGTATTTTAAATTTTAAAAGGAGAATTCGGTAAAAAAAATGTACAGAAAATTAAAATGCGTCGTCCTAAACGAGTATTGTAAAATATTTTATCAAAAATAAAATTGTTTTAAACTATAAATGTTTTTTTTTAGCACTAATCCAGTTACTGGCTATTGACTAATGTATCCCGTAGGCGTGTTTATTACCGTGGCTTAAAGTGTACCTTAAGCGTAGTCGGTTGATGCGTGCAACGAAATAGCTAAACGTTTAATTTCATTCGGACTAATAGACCAGTTCCCGTTTTCCAATCAAAACCAATCAATCCGATTAATCGCGCAATTTTAATAGTCCAAAAGAACATTATGCGGTGCGATAAATATTAATTATACCTACAAACACTGTACATATTCTAATATCGCCGTCGTTTATATTATTATGTTAACGTACTTGGATTATTTTCTCATGGAACAGAACCCGTCCGACAAATTGATCCGATCCGCCGAATGATTCATGAAAATAATAATTAATCATTAAAAAAAAAAAAACACGGTAAAAAAAAATAATTTTACAATTAAAATTAGTATAAAAAAAATATATTAAATTTCCTTAAAACGGGTTTATATTATTTGGACATATTTTATTCGCTTGAATCAAGAATATGCAAAAAAAATATGCTTTATATGCTTTCATATTGTTATAACAACGTTTGTAAACTATTTGTGCTTCATGGCCGCAAGTAGCGGCGGAGTACGATTACGCGCGTTGTACCTTTTTGTGTATACGATTGCGCGCGGTGCCGGAATAACAAAGAACATGGTTTTGACCCTTCAAAGGCGTACGATTGCGCGTGAAACTGGATGCGACGTTGCCGCTAATGGTTACATAGATAAATAATTAAAAAAATATCGTTAAAAAAGTTAAGTTTAATTTAAATTTGACTTAACCTGTGACCTCCTCCTAGACTGTAGCCTGCAAACCTAGGATATTTTTAGTTAGCGGAGCGAAGCGACGGCACCGAGCGAGCGAAGCGAGCGAGTGCCAAAACACTCAGTGACCTGCCGTAGAATATGTCAGCTGTTGGGCCAATTTGTTATCACATGTGTCAGAGAGCCAATCAGAACTCGCGATTTTCTACAGGTCCTCTAACAATGTATGGTATGCTTATATGCGTACAGAACGCCACAATTCGTATGGATATTAATACGTATATATGTATTTGGCAACGTTGCATAGAAGTACAAATAATATAGCGCGCGCAATCGTACGCCTAAAAAGGTACCGCCGATAAGGACCGCGCGCAATCGTATTGCGCCCGCAAGTAGATACCTGCACTTACCTACAGTATCGCTTATTGATCAGGCTACATATACATCGGTTAAAAATATAATAATTATTATCTAAATAACAAAGGCCACCAGAAAGTTACAGAAGGAAACGGGAAACCATTACACCATAAATCCCCTTCCCCAGGATACGACTCTTGTTAAAACAACAGTTGTCACAGCGACCCGTAAAGTCATAAATAAAAAATAAAAATAACAAAATGCTAAACATAATACATTTTTGAGTTGAATAACAAAATAAGTATAACATCTTCTATGGAAAATAACAAGTTTTGGCACTTAAAAATCTCTTAAAATATAAGAGTAATAATTATAACATATTTCAATTAGTATGTATATAATAACATTATATTATCTTTGGCACCGTCATTAATGATTTTCTATAACGGTAAGAAAACTTACGTACAAACGCGTTTGTAATCAATTTCGTTTGGGATTTAATCGAATTCATCAATAAGCCGTAAAAAAAAAAACGATTTATTTCTAATTAATTTTAATAAACCTAACTTTGGCTTACTCAATCTCCTTCATAACCTTACAAAACTGATACAAAAATTTGTTTTAAAAGAACGAAAATCAATATTCTTATACGAAAAATGTTTTATCTCTGGAAATTCTGTTACAAACAGAATTGAATCAAGTTATTTAATAGTTTGTACATAAAAGTTACCTGTGACAATTACCTTTTGGCCTAGTTTAGTCATGTGCTTCTGCGCGCTCCCTGGCTATAGTATACAATGGTCGATGCGGTGGTGTATAATAAACGTCATACACACAACCGAGGTCGTTAATACGGTCACCGCGCGCCGCAGCATCGTGGTAAAAATATATTATAACAAACACCTCCTCCTTTTTTTTTCTCCACTAAAACGAGCCAAGGCGATAATTATTATTATTATAAGTGTATATAATCCGGTATTATTATTATAATTTAAAGCGTACCGCATCGTCACCTCCGCCCGCACCGTGGCCCAGCTCTGTCGATGACCATAATTCACCGGTTAAGTTCTTGTGCACACCGATGGACCGAACCGATAACAGCGTTCCACACTATGAGGAAAAACGCGCGTGCCCGTGTCAGATATACACCATAATATTATAAGCTCCGCTATGGTTCCCACATGATCCCGTATCGTATCCCGATCCTGTATAGAGCACACCCATATAGATATAGCGGCTGGCTGTTAATTGCGACAATATTGGGAGGAGTTATCTATAGTAACCGGTGCGGCGGTTATAATTACCACCGGCGACCTCGACAGCTGCGGTCAAGTATAATACTAAATTATAAAATACAATCTATATCTATATGTATAGGAAATGATCGAAATCGCATTTTTCGCGATCCGATGAAATACCACGTTCAGCACCTCCCCCGGAGGCTTAAGTTCATATACATTCCAGTAGGAACAGGACGGGGCAGCTATAGCCGACCGGTGCGATATTACATACTTATAATATACGTTTAAAAACAACTGATAGATGTAATATATTATATAATCGCCATAGAGTGTACATAAGCCCAGACTAGTGTATTTACCGTACGATTATAAAGTGGTGTACCGGCTTCAGTGCACACGACAGAGGACTTATTATTATTAATATGATAGATACTAGATAATTATAAAACCTTTTTTTATAATGTTTTTTTTTTTTGATCCGTTTGTGTTATATGTTGATACCTACGGTTTTTTTTAAATGTATTAAAAATTAACCCCCTCTCGTTTTAGCATACTTTGTATCAAGTGCATGTACTGTATGAGTATAACAATTTTTAGAACAATAAAAAATATCAAGGATTTTAATTCACATACCAACAACACAGATTATAACTCAGTCGCTGGTTCTCACGGATTATACCAGTGTTTATATCAGCTATTCTATATTGAACGAACCGTGTTGGAAATTATTTGACTATATTATCATTCTATTACTATTATTTCGTCGATAAACTCGACCCCGAGGACATCGGCGGCGGCGGCGGTGTTACACGGCTAAATCGAATTCAGAGTAATATAGTATTATAAGTATAGACTTGGTGCACCAAACGATTATGTACATTTTTATAAAACATAACGCCCGTGTAGTATACCGCGGTAGTCGGGGCAAAATATATTTTTTTATTATTAAAAAAAATAATAATAATCCCGTGAATGATCGGTTATGTAACGAGTCAATACTTAGGCAGACAAATGATTGGCGGTCAAGCTCGTGTGTCATCGACGAGACTAGATTACAATGAAATGTTCAGCCACTTTCTAAAGTAAAACTATAAGTATTGTTATTAGGCCTGTAATTAGCGACAACCCCCATCAATTGGAAATGTGTGTACAATATTCTTAGTGCGGTGCACAACTATTGCCAAAGTACTGTTTAGAAATTTGGTTACGGTATAGCTAACTGACTTATTGTATAGGTTTAGTGGCTAACGTTGTTCCAGACCGGGTTGCTGGCTGCGGATCATTCCACAACCGGGCGTAGATCCTAAAGGACTTTTTTTTTATATTGGGGTACTTTTAGACTCCGTCCCAAAACGATTTCGGTGCTATTCGACTTGCGAGTACGGTGACTGGAGACTAAGAGAGAATTGGAAAGGCACCGACACCGTACCTGGCAATTACCGAGTGGATCGTCTCATTTAGGCCGACACGACCGTCTTAACTTCCGAAATCGTCCACGGTCGTGATCGAGTTTCTCGGAGGCGATTTTCAGAGGTTAAAAAATACCTATTTTTTTTTTTACAAATTCCGCCTAACGCATAACCCGTGCGGTTCTTCCCCGTGACCTTTATGGTCGTTTTCTCGGTGCAATATGCGATGCGCCGGATCACCGTTATAGAACCGCGGAAGACGTGTCGGCCGTCGCTGTTGTTGTTATTATGAAGACCGGTGCGGTGTGGGTGGTACTCTGCCACATAATGCACGATCTCGGAATTATGACATTGGAAATATGGTATAATAATACGAATTTTTATATCAAAATATATAAATATATGTATCATAATAACCGATTTAGAACGCAAGCGCGCCTCGGGTATATTATAATCCAACACCGCGGAATCTCTTCGTTGTTTAATTACTACTCTGAGGGCGTCATTACGGAACGACCATCTATCAGTGCTCGAGGTGCAAGGGGGAAAAACAAAATAATCCTATTCTGTTTATGGTAAAAAAAAAAACATTGTGGAACGAGATTCTCATCAAAATTCAAAAACTTTGACATTTATATGACGTGTATCTGTGCGGTCAACTATTATAATATTTTCGTGTAATGCTAAATGTTTAAAAAAAAAAAAACTTTCCATATAATGTTCGACCGTATTATTATACCTAATTTTCGAGGTCTTTGTCAAAAACGGTGTTGCAAAAGATTACGATTTTGTCTCCTAACCTTAGCCACGACGTACAATCATTATAGAAATTCACCTGTCACGATAGGAATTATTAGGATGGCTGACCAAGATAAGACGGAATTGTCGATGCGATTCGGTCGGCTGTCAATTAATTATTACCGGGGACCCGACTCGAGTTTGTAGAGCCGGTATTTACATTTAATTACCTGGTAGATAATACGATTCGATGAAAGCTTAATTATGTAAATGCATGAGTCCACGTTGAACGCAACGATCCAACACAAATAATATCAACGTGCGACAAGGTCAACAATGTAACTACCGCGCACATTTTCAATAGTAATATTATCGTCCGGTTGAATATTATTGAGCCAACAGCTTCCAATGTAAATGATGTAGCCAATGCTCGTCCGTCGCACAGTAATGTGACCCCCACCTAGGTCGACGATTGAACGCATATAGCTTAATTACACAAGCATCTAAGGTCCGCCAAAATAGTGGCTTAATGGAGTTCTTAAACTCGCCAAATACCATGAAAACTCATTAGGTTAAGACTTGAGTTCTTGTGTTGTGGACGCACTGTGTAAATGCGCGTTCGGCAAACCTCGATAGTTGTTAAATGACCAAAACTGGTTTCGTTCAATATCATATTATATTATGTATGTTACCAATGTTAGCTTTTAACAATAATGTTTGCCTTTTTTTTGTTGTGTACATACAGGGACCAAGAAGCGGCCGTGATGAGAGCCAACAGTTGGCTTTACCACTACTACATGGTGCAGAGTAAACTTCAGTACGGTATGCAGTTCGAAGCACAAACTTCCCCCCGAGTGCCGTCCGTCGGCCCCCCTGTGGCAGCGACCACGGCGAGCACTTCTTCGGACATCGCTTACGCTTACCAGCAGTCGCCGGCGCAGCACAGGTCGCAACAGCTACAGCACGTACAGGACACTTCGCAATACCCGACGGAGCAGCAGCAACCGCAGCACTTCCACCAAATGCCCGACGGGTACTTCCGGTATGCCGCTGGCCGGCACAAGCTGGAACCGGAACCCGTCGACTATTCGCTCCATTCGCCGGATCAAACGCCGCCGCCGTTGACGATGAAAACGGAGGAGTCCGCCGACTCACCGGTGTCACCGATGGGCGCCGAGACGGGCGGGTGCACGGCCACCGCGTTGGCTCTGCCGTCGGCCACGTCTCTGGGCCGGTCCCGGGCGCTCGTCAAGGCCGCCATGGACCCGGGCGATATGATGATGGACACGTGGAATCCCAGCCCGCCGTGGTCGGACTGCTGTTCGGGCACCCAAAAAGTACCGGACGTGGACATGCTCGGGAGTGGAGGCGGCTACTGCGGTCAGCCGACTCCTCCGACGCCCGGCAGCGGTGGTTCGTACCACATGCCGGCCACCCACCAACACACCCCGGCCACGGCGTCGCAGCCGGCCACGTTCACGTTCGACTGGCCTGGCGAACAGTACGTGCCTAACGTACATGAAGTTCTTGTCGAGCCGCCACCACCACACTACATCGTGCCGTTCCCACCGTGGCCGCAGACGACCGATCACCACAGGTTGTTCCCGTTACAACCGCCGCCGCCTGGATCCTTAAACCGTCCATCGCTCATCGTCCGACTCGACCAAGACGCCACTGCCGATACGTCGATTCAAGGTAAATAGATATAGCACAGAGTAGAATAAATCAGAGAGGACACTCAACGTAGACAATGATTTTCGGATGGAGGCCGCCATCTTCTCATTTATCCTAAAATTATATCTATACACAACTAATGTATAGAAAATACAACATTATATTGATGGAGAAATGAGAAGATAGCCGCCACATTTTTTATTGATAAGTATATCCTCCCTGTTTAATGTTGACAGTGTTAAAACACTGTATATAACACTTATATCGAATAAAACTCTTATAGACTTTACATACATTAGGTGTTTTTTGATACGTTCAAATGTAAAGTTGTTAGTTGGTCAGATTTAATTTATCATGGTTTATACAAACTTAAATGATACAAATCATAAAGAGAAAAATTAAATGATTCATTAGATCTCGTTTAACGATGACAAAACGCAGAGCTACATATATTATAATGGGACAGTTTCGATATCGCGTTTGTACAAGTTAAGTAATAATTATAATTATTTGTAGTTTCTCGACGGTGACCTAATGATCCCGGAGACACCGTGCACAGGTACTATAATATGACATGTACATGTAAAACGTACATTATTTTTACCACATTTTATTTCGCGGGTGTAAATGATATCTAGAACGGCTTTTTTTTTTTAAATTACATTATCGCGTTGAGTTTTTTTTATTTATAACGCGTTACATATAGGTAACATACGTTGGATCGCAATTCAAATCCTATCGCACGACTCTGGTATGCGGTTATTGCGTTTTAATGCAAATGAAACGTACCTTTTCACGGATACTAAACAGCGATCATACAACCATGAGGCAAAAACTGGGATAAAAAATATACTCTAAACCTAGAGAAAAAAGTGATTCACATGGAAATTGACAGCAAAAAAAAAAAATATATTACCTTATAGTTGATATGAAAAATAAAAGTGTCATAGGGCACTCTCTGACAATATAAACTGTTCCAAATCAACCTTAAAGTCCTAATTTGTTCTGCTTTTTTATGCTGATAATTTCCACGTTTATCACTTTTTCATTAAGTCTTAATAAGGTTATAGCTTAATCAATAATGGCTCTAGCAAAAACTGTCATCGCCGATCATAACATAACCTAAATACCGACTATTTCATTCTTGTTTTTTTATTATTATACCCGCTGTCACAACAAGTAAAGTGTTCGAAATGTAAAATCTATAGTTGTGAGGGGAGGAGGATGAGCTTAGAAGTTTCCTCGTCAAAAAACAAAATTTTAAAAACCTTGAAATCAAAACGGGTTTTTTGTTGTTTTTTAAACGTCCTTTGCGGTCCGGAACGGCCACAAGATCTCGTCCGGATAAATCTCTATCCGGTCAATGCCGACAAACACCGCGAGTCCCGCCTGAGTTTTGTACTTACAATATAAATCTTTACACGCGCTGGGCGTGCTCCGGTTTTCAATTAAAACGTTACGACGTGAAAACGCGGCTTTTGTTTTATTTTATTATTATTATAAATGTTGTATGTTTTTTTTCTACCCAAACTTTGCTGCCGGAACTCTACCCAAAACGGTAAATATAATAAAGACGATGATAATAATAACGGTCAACCGCGTCCAGTGTTGTACCGTTGTGTGTTAAAAAGAACCAAAAAAAAAAATCATAATTAGGTAATATACAATTATAATAATATATTAATAAGCGCGAACCGCCGGGGACTATTCACACAAAAACCGCGACCGTAAAAAAATAATAATAAGAATAATATTCTCGTACTAAAAAAATGAAAAACTACATATTCGGAAATTCCACGCAACTCGTCATCGCCTTAAATTGAATATTTTTTTTCTGTACTCTTGTGACGTTACTTTTCCTCTAAAATACACCGAGTGGCTTTCGGATAGACAAAAAAAGTAAAATAAATATAATGGTGACTTTTCGCCACAGCCTATGGCGCCACCACACGGTTACACCGTATCATTATACCATTGCGCGTTATCTCCTCCAAGGCGTCTTCCGACGTGTCTGTAGCGCACATAGTACAACGTTATTATTTTAAGGTTTTTTTTTTCCGTGAGATTGAGGAGGGGTGGTGGATTTTTTAATGTCGGGGGTCTTCTCGGACAACGAGACCGACCGAAAGAGAGAGAAAGAGATAGGCCGGATGCCGAGCTCTGGTAAAACGTGGGAAATACACACTATAGCCGTAGTGAGTAAACTAGCAGTAGTTGTAGATGTTGGATATACATATTGTATAGGCGATCAGTGTGTGGTACGTTGGACCGGGGGAATATGCCTAATAATATAATATTATACATATGTAAATTAACGTGAAATCCGTATTGCCTATACCTATATTTATGCGGACTGTGCGGTAGTTGTGCAGTTGCTCATAGCGATGGTGGCAATTACGATTGTGATGATTGGTTGTTTGACAAATAATACACGGTTATTGGCCGTGTGTCTGTATCTGGAACGTAGGTATATGCGTTATTGATCGGTTATTATTATAATATTATCGTGTGTTACCGGTATACGTCCACGGCAAAGCCATGATTATACTGGCGAGGACCATAATAATAATATTATTTGCGTCCAAATAAAAAATATAAAACAAACAACGGCGCGCGTCGGCCGATCCGCCGGTTGTTGCGGGTGGTATTTTAGAAAGTGCATATGAGCTAGGAAATAAAAAATAATAGTAATTATACTAACAATCACCGTAGACAGAAATCAGAAAAAAAAGTCCCAAAGGTACCATAGAGTAAAAATATACATAGCTGTAACATCATAATATAATGGTCCTGTACTCGGTAACAAAGTAAGCAAGATGGCAAGCGACAGTGTGACCACTTTAAATAAAAGTCAATACTTTATTTGTAAGTAGTTAAACTCTGCATAATCCTTATCAACTATACAGATCATTTGTACATAATTTCAAATTTCATATGATAATATTATTATAACTGATGAGTCATTTGATTTTTATCACGTTGTAGTAGCACACATAAGATAAAACACGATGGTACGCTTCGGCATTTACTGATAACTAGATTCCTCCTGAGACTACTTGTGACCACATAAGAGGAATGAAATTATTGTCGAAAATATTTTACCATAATATGTTATCAAATAATTTGTATACTACATCGGTGATAACAATCAATAAATTTAGTGATGCGTAGTTGTGGAACAATTATAATATATCATAAAAAAATAGATTTCTATCAGCGGTAACCCGCATTTGAGAAGAGTTTTGGTTTGTTTACATTTAAGGAAATTAAACTGATTGAATAGGATGTGCATTAGCTGGTTTATCTAATCTATGGTAGTAGTAGTGAAGCAAATTAATATTATGTACCAGAGAAATGTAATTTTATCGTTCTGGTCACACTGCAGCTCACCTTTTCGCTTACTTCATAATATTTTGCTTATTGCAATCTCCTGAAAGATATACTCATCGCATCGTAACGCCGGACAGAAATCATTAACGATTTTTTTTTGTAATATGTTATAAAAAAACATACTTTTTAAACTTTATTTTAAACAAATAATAAAGCCAGTTTCCCAAACTGTGGGTTGCCGGATGAAACAGCATACTACTTCAATCATAATAAATCATACAATAAATAAAACAAAATAGAATAAAACGCATAAACCCTACTCCCTAGTGATTAAATATAAAAAAAAAAATGATGGTGTTAGTTAAACGTTGAAATCTTAAAGCGTTAGTAACAGTTATTCTGTAATTGGTGTACAACAGATTTAGTCTTTAAAACCCGTTTCAGATGTATCAAAATAATAAAAATATTATACAACGAGGCGCTAATGTATTATTTTTGTATTTTATTTTGCAGACCGTCGGGAAAGTGATATGTGAGCTTCGTCGTTTCTCATCTCAATCATACATACAATGTAAGAAGTGCAATTTTCCAGGAATCCAAAGCGAAAAATATGTAAATAATAGTTTTTTTTTTTAATAGATAACTAAAATTCATATAATCGGACCATTTGAAATTAATTAATAATCATAATGTTATAGTGTATTCACTCTGAACCGTTGACCATTTTTTATGTGTTAATATTATTTTTATAATCTTTAAGTAGGTTAAAGTTAAGTACCCCATACACTCGAATATGCTTATTATGTTAAGAAATCGTTTTAGTATAATTTTATAACCACCAAGCTACGCCTGTGATCTCTGTTTTAGACGATTTTTTTTATATAGGAATAGCCTTACGTTGTAAAATATTTTTTTTTAAGTTTTCTATTATTTTATTATATAGCACACTATAATATATGTAACGGATTTCAGTCTATTATTCTTGTTTTTATTTGTATTATTTTAGTTATTATTTAATTTGTTGGTTTTTAGTTCTTTATTAGAATAATTCGATGTACATAATATATTTAATACATTTATCTTTTTTTTTTATTATTCGATTATTTATTTTTATTAAATGCTTTTATTTTATGTATTATATAATTTGGCTGGCAGAGTGCAATACATATTTTGTGTTAAGCCATGTTATAACGTTGTTATTACAATTAAGGTTATTACACATTGTACAGTATAAATAAATTAAAATAAAACAAAGAAATTGATTCACAAAAATAAAAACCGTTGTTGTCGCTATCTATTTTATGTGATTTACCTTTATGACGCATTTTCATGGTGCCCCTCAAAAGTATAATATTATTATCTCGGTGATTAGGAAAAAAAAATATTCGATTGAGTTTTAGAACGGTTACCTATAAGAAGGATAATGCGCTTGCGAGAGGTACAATATTAGGTAAACGAATATGTCTAGATGTTTTAATCGTACAGAAAACAATAAGAGAAAAAACATAAAATAATAAAAACAACTTTTATTTTTTCTTTAGGACCCGATAAGGGTACCGTTAATTACCCACAAAAATAACGCACGTGTTTGAGAGTAAAACTACTAAAATGTGGTTTGAAGGTTTTTCACTGACATTTAAACGAAGAAGGTGTTTTTAGTTATTTATGTAGAACGTGAAAAATGAATTTTAAACCGCGCAACTATAACGCACAACGTTTTACGGAATGTGCATTATAATAATAACCGCAAAATGTTCAATAAATAAAAAATAACGCTCAAACATTCGGCATTACATAACATTAATCCCATTCCAAAAATGTTGAAACAACTTTCTTTAGTCAATTATTCATTTCAGTTATTTGTCCGGAGCCATATTGATTTCGTGTTAAATATACTTTTAAGGTGTCTTATACAATTTGATTGTAGTGCTTGTAACACACAAGTCAGACACTATAACTGCAATAGAGAGAGTTGTGCAGATTATGAGTTGTCGCTATATAAGTTTAAATACATTGCCTACACACAGTGGACAGTAGCAAATTAAAAAGAAGAAGATACGCGTTTAGCTGTGTTTGTTCAGAATTTCTTAAACACATATAGTTTTCTTAATTACGTCTTCTTCCTTAATATTGCAAAGAAAAAATAAACAACAATAAATTTGATAATTTTTTAATTTACGAATTTTATTTTATTATTTTTATTTAAATGGCTAGCGGATACATGTTTATTGGTAAAAAAGAAGCCCAGAGCAGTGGGGACAGAGCATATTGGTAATGGAGCGGTCACAAGTCTTAAAGAATTATTATTACAACTGATACTACTGTAACTGTAATTAAACTACTTCAAGTAAACGAAATTGTAAATGATAAAAAGTATATTATGTATAAAAAATTGTATTACCCACCAATACATGCGTTTCTAATAATTAATTTTATGAGTTTCTTCGATAAAAAAGCATGACTACTGTAGATGTTATATTTTTGGTTTGTTTAATTTCCGAATTGAGAATATTCACCAGTATTTTAATGTAATAATCTTAGCGTGTGCCTGGCAATTATGACTATTTTATTATTAACCAGTTAGCTAGTTTATAGTTGGCTTTACATATTTTTATTGTTTTTTTATCAAGTAAAAAAAAAAAAAAAATTACAACAATATAAAATAAAAATTGACGTCATGTTTCCTTTGTCGAACGCTCACGATTGCAAAAGTTATTTATGGGCTGCGTTCGTGTATTTTTCAAGTAAACGCCATAAAAATGAAATGCGAAGGGGCTAGCTAAGTGTCTTTAGTTTTTTAAATAAAAAAAATGTATACGTGTATGAAATAATATAATATTTATATTTATATATCATAATAGTAAACCATAGTACAGGCGTGCCGTGCACACACACGGAAGCTAAGACGCTTTCTTACCGTGTATAGGTACACAAATGTAGGTATACATAATAATAAAGGAAAGGACTGGAAAGAAAATATCACGAAGCTCTGGTACCAACGCATATGATCCTCTTACCTGTCCGAGTTGCGGCGGCTACCGGCTGCAGATAGACGTCATCGTGACCAGACAACATCACGGTTGGCTTCTACATGATCCCATAATACACTTGGTGAAAACAAACAAACAATAATATAAGAAAACTGCGAGCATTAGCATAATGCCATTTGTTTTCCGTCAAAGTCCAATAGGAAAATCTACTCCCAGAGGATATTTCCACCACGTTCCCCGTAAAGAAAACATTACCGGCCGAATGCCTTAGGTACGCCATAATAGTATTATGCCCATTGCTTAGGTATACATATTTTTCCGTTTCTGATCGTTCCACAGCTGTTTCTGCGCCTGAGGTCGCGGTCGGAATTTCACGACTATTCCGTTTACATTTGAATAAATTATACCGCGCTATGTGCTTGCGGTGAAATTGGATATTTCAAATGTCAAATTTGAAACATAAATACATATTTCAGTTGCCAATGGTCCCTGCTGAAAAAACCTTTTTTGTACCGGTGTTACTATTGTACAGTAAATTGGTATTGTCAGCCTGTTAAAAGTGTCAATATTTTTTGAAATTTCGTACACCATAAACTATCTTATAATATTTAAAAAAAATAACATTACATATTATAATATTAACTATGACGGAGAGCGAGTGGTTGAGTGTTTAGCGCTCACTGTAGCCGGTTAGGTTTTTCGAGCCAGAAATCGTTAGGTAAGAACTTAGACTTGGAGGGTGGAGCTTTGACTACCCTATTTGTAAAAATTAGAAATAAATATTAAATACTATACGACGCCAGTCTCGTTTATATCTGTAAAGGCAACACCAACATGTAGACTATAGAGAATACAAAAATATATTATAATCTTCAACGTGTTTTATACCGTGAAGTACTTGGCACATACACAGCCCATATATCCTATTTACCTCAACCGGCGATGGCGCGGATGCTCAGGAGTTTGTTTTGTTCTCATTTCAGAGTCTGATATTCTAATTTCCATCTCCCACGACTCTCGAGAGCCGCCACTACACAGGTGACACTGACCTCTTAAGCACTGCTACAACGCACACACACACACAGTTACTATGGCTCTTTTCGTAACTGCGTGTGTCTCCATACACATGTATCTTTGTACATATATAAGTACGATTTCTTCGCATAAATACACCTATATATCCACTCTGTTGGTGGCCAATTGCACACGCCACTGTATAGTCTGCGGGAGCGTCTCGAGGGAAAGACGGAGAAAGCGTGAACAGAGAAGAAACTAGATTACTGACCTTAGATAATATTATGGGCAACGGCGGCAGCAGCAGAAGTTACTTTATAGGCGGTCAGGAGACACTACCGACTGTGAGGCGTGTGCAAAACACAAAGTAAGTTGACAAAAAATAACAAAATGTATATATATTTATAGTATATACATTATACAGTGAGCGTCGCGCTAATCTGGTTTATTTGATCAGCCACTTATTGTAAACCGCTTGTCTTTATACCGAAAAGCTTTCGTTACTACAATGGATACCAGTTAAAGTGTGTTCACGGTTTAAACGATCAGCAGCACGTTATAAACAAGTGACCATTATCAGTGTCATACTCCTTGGGTTTACTAATAAAGACATTTTTAGGTGTGGTAAATGTAGACACAATTTTCATTGTATATAATAAACATTTTTTTTAATTTTGACTGAAAACTTTTTATCATAATAGATGTTACTCGCTTATCCGGAAGAAAAATGGTTAAAAAATTGACTATTTTGTAGTTTTCAGGAGAAAGGATTAAACAAGTATGTGTCGTTTTAATACAATAAACGTTAAACTGCATGAATTTTTTTTTTAACCATATGCTATAAATGTACTTAATACTACTAAAAAAATTAAACAACATTTTTTTTTAGTTTTGGTTTTATGGAAAACGCTAATTAAAGAATTTGGAACATTATGGAACATTGTGCATACAAAGATGTATAGCATGAGCAGATATAAACAATATATACAATTGTTCCATATATGGAACATTATGCAGGGAAGGGTTAAATAAAGACTACCACACGCACTTTATACTCACTCGGCCGACATATATGTGGCCTGACAAATTTAAATCCATTTTTAAGTGGTCATGGTTTCGGTTGATTTCACGTGAAATATAAGTTAACATCATAAAAGACTCAAGTACAGTTATTTGTACATATTTCTTAAAATTGGAGAAAAAATAATGAAATTAAATACAATATAGCGAAACTAATGAATAAAATAAAAACGATAATGACAATTTACAATTAGACATACATTATAGAAAATAAATAGTTGAATATTGACTTTGTATATAGCAGGTAGACTACCAAGGAAAAAAATCCAATTTGGATGTATTGCCTTGTTTAAGTATTCTGTCGAATGGATTATTTTGACCATACTTCGTGCAGTAAGATTTAAGATTAGCTCGAATATGAGCCTGAATTATATTAGGGCACACACAAGGTTTTCCCTTTAAGAATTAGGAACAAGAAATTATACTATTTACTAATTTGTATAAGAATGATATACCTGCAATTTTGTGGTGGACTAAAAGAGAATCTAATTTAAGGTTTACTATTAATCATTTACATCTGGCTATCAACCATAACTAAACCATAACTATCAACTATAACTTATTTTTTTTCTTGGAGTAGTAAGAACTTGAATAATAAGATGTTATGCGTGGTTCTAAAATACGGAATTTGAAAAATTCACGTTCTATTACAACTCCTAGTAAAAATAAGTCGCCATTACCAAACTTTTGCCAGTTACTCTATACACATATAAGTGCTGTACAAATGTTAGAATTTTTAGTTCAAGCCTTAAAAAGTTCTAGACTCTTAAATACTTTTCTTTTTAGTAAAATACCAAACTTTGAAGTTAACTATAAATCGTAAAAAAAAATTTCCAAAAAAAATTATGAATCAAATATGTAATTAGATGTCAAAATAAAAAAAAATTTAATTTTGACCTTGAGTTAGCATAAAAATTTATGAATTTTATAAAATGTTGAATTTGTTTTTCAATTTTTAGCCACTTAAACATTTGAGAAACATTTTTTTAAGGATATTATGAAAAATATCACTTAAATTACAATAATTGTTGGTATATTAATTGTTTATACAATAGTTTAAGGAAACACCATTTCGATATCATAATTATTAATTAAGTAACGTGGTCGAGAACTTAAGGTGTTTTATAAAAAATGTATAGAATATAGCATCGCGAAGTCCAAAACAAATTTAAAAAAATTGTTTTCTTCACATAGGACATATAAGTTTGAGGCATGTAGAAAATCCACTCGCACACACGACAGGTGATTTAGCATGACATTTGCCTAATTCATGCTGTTGAAAAACAAAATTAAGAATAGAAACGCTGTTATACAGGCTCTACTCTATAAACCATAAACTTTTAAATGGTATGATGGCCTGAAAAATAAATTAACTAACAAAAAAGTCCTAAATACATTAACTAATATCTACTCATAATAGTTTAACTTTAAAGTTCAGATTTTGGAAAAAAATTCCTATAACGAACGCCTAAATAAACAGGAGGTATGACGTCCCCTTAAAGTCTGACGACGTTATGCTATATTTCTGTTCTATAAATTATATATAATCAAGACAATATATGTACTGCATTTTTCAGTATTCATTTTTTTTGTCTTAATAGCTTTTAATCGCCTTTAATAGCTTACATACACGCCGATAAAGTAATATAACCAAAAATGGTAATTTATACAATTAAATTACAGACCTTAAAAATACAAATTTAATAGGATTTCAACAAGCTCTGAGCTCTATAAATGTATTCTCTCAAATTACCAAATCTTTCCAAATTTTTGCTAAGACTATTGTAACAACAAACCGAGTAAACGTTTGAAGAGCGAAGAGGTGGAGTAACGTGTACTTATAATCATTTTTAATAGAAGTACGGCGTGTGATTATTATATTGCTACACCATGTTTGTAGAACGTTCATTGTTTACGACTGTATGTATAATACATTCCCGATGAACACCCAGCCTACTGATTTACAATGTCGTTCCGTCCTATATATACATAGATAATAATATGTTTGTACACAGGTAAATCGACAGATAATTGCGTTAGAAAAGGCGAAAAGAGACATTGTCGTTTTGTGCTGTTTTTTTCGCACTCAGTGACAAAGCAACCCGAACCGAGGTCCTAGTCCCTCGGGGATTGAACTTTTGAACCGCAACGCAGTCATTAACGAGCCAGTCAATAATTGTACCACTTGTTCAACTCATTGCATACAACATGTGATGTAAACACACTATTATGCGACTTGCAATAGTAGTTCGTTACGTATTATATCGGTTCCGGGCTTAAGGTTAACTTAAGTAGGTCCGCTCAAAATTCCTATTGCGACTGAAGGAACTTTTTGGTAAGTCAAAACACGACAGCGGATATTTTATATTGAAATTGTATTTTATTCATAAATTCAGCTATATATTTGTAGATAGGAGGAGCAGGTACTCCACGTTTCTCCGGTCGAAACTATTTCACGCCTGTTATGATAGTTGATAGGTTATAGTGAACAAGTCTATTATTAATTATGACGTTCAGCGATCCCCGGTACTATCAAGTATATGGTGTTGTTTTTATAGCTTTTATAAAATGTCAACTCAACAGATGCCACTAAATGAAAGCAAGTGTACTGAGTACCTGGTTGTCATAATTGTATCCAAGCCAAAAAACTAAACGCTTTCTGGGCTAGTCCCGTTCATTTTGGTAAGCCGATGGCTGCACTGTCCTATGTAATTTCTCAGTAATAGCTATCCTCGGTCTTACGTTCTGAACAAATAAGTCAAGTCCTAACGGCGACCACTAGCAACTTCTGGAGTGTAACGGTTGGATTTAAGTCTCTGTCGCCAGTTTGCTCTGTCAGATTACAATATTATTCGATCGATATCGCAACATCGACTGGAAACAATCGGTCCATAACCTGAATACTGGGAGAGACTCCTTCTCTCTCTCCATCTATCTATGGACCATAGACGATACGGCTTAACATACCTCACATGTCGTCTCGATGAACCCCGTGACCCTGAATTTGAAGCGCGCACCGTACATACACAATCTTAGAATCTTTATCTTTCCCCTTCTCCGCAACTTTATATTTATTTTACTTTTTTCATCCGCGGTATTTTCTAAACGCTTATAATATACCCGGCATAATATTCGTATTGACCCACCGCATGTCCTTTGCACGTCATCTTGACGTATAAAAACATGCGAGCGCAGCATTATTGCTATATTATTATTATTTTTTTACGACCGTGCGCCTATATTAGTTTTTATTTTTATATAAAATAATACCTATTATACATTATTATTATCCGTATACTAACTTAGTCCACAAGGTAAATGCTTGACTCGCTAAATATAAATCATACAACGACGACGGGCGATTTGACTTAATAAATCTAACGACCTAAATGTTTCTCACGCATCTCTGAAGTCTTTAAACTTTTAGTTATCACTTTGGAATAATGTATATAATATATTTTTTACAATATCAAACGGTAATTAGCATCTGCTTGTACATTTTGATTAAATAGAAAACCGAGTAGATTTGTATTATCTTATAATAACTATTATAAGTTATAGTTAAAACAATAATCAAGGAGGCCAATTCATCCGAGAACCGAGTTAATAGTCATTAGTCATTACTGAAAAATGCCAAGTCGAAGAAAATTGCAACAACAGCTCATAGGCATTGCATATAGAAGGGAAATAATATATATATATATATATATAATATACAAAACAAAGGAAAACGTTCATTTCATTGTTCTTGTATTTTTAACCCCTAGAGATCTCGGTGTACAGATGACCTATTCCGTGTATTATGAGACCTCCATGCTGGAGAGAAAGAGCGAGAGAGACTATGTACATACACTGCACATAACTTTTATCTAGTCTGGAGTATTAGCTAATGCGCTTCTTCTTATGCAAGGATAAACGTTGACCCATAAATAACCGATGCAGACCTCTATTGTCAACGCTACCGTTTTCCTATATGTTTACGGAGAGCGCGGTGATTCGGATTATACATATATATTATAATATACGCTTTTTTCTTACTTATACGCATTTTTCTTTATTTTATAGCGCCGGTACAATGAAAAGGTCACAGAATCGAATGGTAAAAAAAAGTACTTATATAAAAACAATATTGTTCCATCGAGATAACATGTATAAGACGATCGCTTAAAAGTCGGGTTTTGTCATCAACTGTCGTCTTGATCTTGTTGCGGTTCAGGTTGGGGTTGATCTCCCACATAAGTCGCCGAAGTGATGTACCCCGTGTGGCCTCGAGGAGACGGATCCGGCACGCACGCCACAAATTTCTTTTCCACACTGCCGTTCTGATCCCCGCCGGCCGGCTGCAATCAAATACAATGGGTAGGTTAGGTAAGGTTAGATTATTATTTTTATACTGGATGAATCACAGGCGCCATCAGAAGATAACGTCTTTATACGACTATTGATAACGGCATTCGAAATCTGCGCCCAACTAATACATCTAAATTAGAGGTCCCTATTACACGTGTATTCGATTACACGTGAAACACGTGTAATTAACATACACGTGTATGTACACGTGTAATTATAAATACACGTGTATTCAAAAAAAATTATTTTTGTTATTAATTTTAGTTTCACGTTTAATATCACGTCTATTTAATTATACGAACTCAAACACAAGTATAATTGTATAAATACGTTAACTCAAACTAAAATTTTTAACAAAATCAATTTTTTTTACTTACACGTGTATTTATAATTACACGTGTACATACACGTGTATGTTAATTACACGGGGTTCGTGTACTCGTGTATTTAAATTACACGTTTAAAATCACAGGCACTAATCTAAATCACTTAAATTTAAGTGCAGTACATGACTAATTATTTAGCGAAAAATGTAAATGAGGCGCTGATTACAAAAAGTTTTTTAATCACAGTTTACAGCGGTCCTGTCGTAATCGACACAAAAAAAATTGTTTATCTCGATTTTTGAAAGGGAAGAGGTAAACTTTTTGATTATTGTTCATTGAAGTACCTTTTATGTACGACTTCCAATTTATAGACTTACTACACGAAGAAATCGGTCTTGTGATTTGAGAGATATCGTAGATTTACTAACAAAAATTGCTGATGTATCAAATTTACAAATACGTTTATGAAAAACAAGTGAAGTTGAAAAAATTTTGAGCGAAAAGTAAAAAGTTATACAACCAATAAGCAGATACAAATTTTGTTATCAAAAAAGAAATGAATTACCTCATCGAGAGATGGCAATGTTCAACAAAAGCTTGTAAAGCATTCTAAAAGTCGAGGTTAGGTTAGGGGTTTTTTATGGTATAAATTTGACTGATGATAATTTTAATACCTAATGTAATTTTGTTTTTATATGTATTATATATATATCATGATTTTTTAAAAATTGTACATACAGTTGATATCGCGTTGTCGGCATGTTATAGTTTATAAAAGTCACAACAAATACGATTCATATAGGTATATAAAATACAATATTATTGTCAGCATATCAGACCGCACTTCATGCATAAGTAAAGCGTTATAACTTTGTACACACACATAGTATCAAATAATAATATGAGTAATCACAATAACAAATGTATTAACATTTATTATCAGTTATCTAGGGCTTATCAATTTCCCTTGTCACCATTCCATCTCCACTTCTCCATAGTCTTTCTCCTTCCCACCTAACGTATACTGTAATTTATATAACTTTATAAAATCGATTTACAACTTAAAAGAATCACGTTTTTGAAGGGACTAGAAAAAAATCCAACTGAAAACTCAAATAAAACTTAATAGCAATAATAAATCAACAACAAATTTAATAACGTCCACAATGATCTATACGCAGTGTTGTTAAAAAGTTTTTATTTATAACAGTTGGTAATCTGTGAATTGTGTTAACTATCCAGTTCAAACATGCCCAGATGGTAGAATTTGATTTGAAACGTAAAGTCTCGGTTGTTTTTTATATTTTCAATATTATCTATAACGTCATGTTTAAGACTAAGAACAAGTAAGGTGTTTTTTTTTTGTACTAGCGAGCACCCGCTTCCAGCGCCTAAAAACAGTTTCGGGGCGTCGAACAATTGTCAAACAGCCGTGTTATTATGTTTGGGATTTATAGTATTCATACCAATATACCGGCGAGACGGTGTCCGAATGTTCATAATAATGATGTCAAACGACCGACGATGGTGAAAACGATAACGTCGTAATAAAGTATGTTTTTATATAAAAAAAACCTAACTGGTTCTCTAACTTGTAAACGTATACCAAACACACTGACTAAATCTGTGTACCAAAGAAATATTTACAACTGATATCCCTCGGGGAGAAACGTCTCTATATAATATAGACAACAACGGAAGAAATTCGTTTGAATGAACATAAATTTCAAATGTTATACTATGTTAGCTACTCGGGAGTTACAAAATCACATGCTATAGGTACAGATTCAAAAACTGATTAGCAAACTAATTAGTGATTTTAATCACTTCGAATTAGAAACTAAAACTAGTTTTATCTATAATCGTATGCGGAAGTCTAATAATGTCTAAAAATAGACGGTCGCTTAATGTCTTTTATGTACAATTTAACCAAATCAAACTATGGCGGATATTTGCTAAGTCCAACATGTATTAACACACGAGAGTGTGTAAAATTATTTAAAATAGAACAAATATATCATCATTTTCTAAAGTCTAGTCTTATGAAAATTTAAATTTGCATTTAATATTTTCGACTTATATAACTCATCTTTTGCCAAACTCACTTCAATGATCATTTTTCTATTACGATTCAATGCAACATCGATATTAATTGTTTATGCGATACTTGTGACGGCATTCTCTCCGGCCGAACACGTTATATGGGAAGTGCCACGCGCTATCCGGGTGGTGGTGATGCTCAGCCACAATATCATTATGGTATAATATATTATTACATATACATATACGTGCACGGTTCACAACCGCACGTTGAGGGGAAACGAATGGTCGGTGCGCACGCGGTTCCTATTAAAAGAACAATTAGTCCGGTGTATGATTAACAGAGAGAAGCGACGACTGCAGGACGCGTCGGAATCCCAACGATTTCCCATATAGATGAGTTCGCCGGCTCCGGGGAAATAAGGTGGTTTCGATAAAAATTATAACGTTTGACGTGGACCAGTTCTGTATGGTTTTGTCGAAAACAAATTACCCGACGACCTGTCCGGCCGGCTCGGTACCGGTTCGAGTACCTACACACACTACATATGTATATATGTACAGTGGTATACATGCAGGGGACTTGGTAACTTACGCCCTCACATTCATCGAATATGTAGATATTACACATATACATATAATAATTATTATATACATATGATGGCGTTCACATATCGGTTTATAATAAACTAATTTTTTTATTTTACATAGACTATATACGATTATAATCATAATATAAACGAATTTTTGCTGATAGATCCTGATAAGTCTCAGTTCCATCAGCTTCATAGGTGGCCACTTACCTGATTGGAAAGCAGCCCGGGCACGATCACTGTCCTATTCAATACCTGGTGCTCTTTCTCCAGACACTCGATGGTCTTGAGGTGGATGAATCCGCAGTCTTTCAGAACTTGGCACGTTCGCATCACCTGTTCTATGCATGGCGAAAACGTACATATTCTACCACCTGAAAAACATTAAGAAATATAAGAATATATAAGTGAGAACATTAAAAGGGATAAGTTTATATATTATACCTAGCGTACAAGTTATTAGAACATTTTAACCACATTGACAGTTGAAATCAAGGGTCTGGAATAGGGGGTCGCAATAACTCAAATATTATGAATTAAGCGAAATAAATCATAGCAAATATAATTTTAAAAAATTTTATAACTCATTATTGATGATTTATTAACTAAAAATGAATACCTAAAAAAATATAAGTCGTTATAATGTGATTTATTCGCACTTCCGTGTAGTCTATACTCTCATATTCCATCTCATATATAAATTAGTTTAATTTTCATGCACGATTTAACCTACAATAGTTATAGTTTAGAAAGAAATATAATTTAAACGATCATGTAGTTATCTCATAATAGTTTCGTAACCTTTGTATATAATGCTATAATTAATAACTAAATAATTATCTACGTATAAAAATAAATGAGAAAATAACTAACAACGCCTCTATAGTATAAATACATGTGATCATACTTCGTGTAAAGTAAAATATATATTGCATGCCTTGTCAGTTGCTTTCCAAAATTGTTAACTAAAGAAACAATAATATGTCAATTAATGTGTACTATTTTTCGTGTTTCAGAACGATAAGAGAAACTAGATTTATAATTTAAAACTCAGCATCCGCAGTTTGAATAAAAGAGCCGCGGGAAAAATAACTTAACAAAAATAATGCAATCAGTGAAGAGGATTTAGAACAATAATGATGTACGTATGAACTAAATGACGGTACAGATGATTAAGCGCGATACGAATAGTGTATAATATTAAAATTCTAAGCTAAGAGCCTAACAAGAAAACGTGCAATGTTCATCATGATTGCGGATAACGATTGAAAATGGTTTTTTATTGAAGTTCCTTAAGAAAACATTTTTTATAGTAGGTAAATACTGATTTGTGCAATAGCCTTGCTGGATACTATTAAATTCCGCAATGCACGTTCACGTTCAGGGAACCGTAAAAGCAGGTTAATAATATTACGCGTTCGATCAATAATATTTATCAATACCAATCAACATTTCGAGAAATAAAAAAGTGTTTTTTTTAAAATATTTACATGATAAAATTGTATTTACAAATTGGGTTTACAAACATTTCGGAAACCTTACATCTTCCATCTTCAGGGCTATATTACGTACTGGTCCCGTGTTGTTCGCTTCGCTGCTACCTGTAGGCTGTAGACTGATGCGATCATATTTTATAAATGCCTATGCGTGTTCTACCCCCACTACTCTATTCTTGCTGTAGCCTTTTTGTTTGTTGTTAAACACCCCTGGTTCTACTGCTGCCACCGGCTTCCCCCCCCCCCCGACATCCTTCCCGCGTCGTCCTATTATACCCCTGATTTTTTCTCCGCCAGAGGGTGAATGAAAAGGAAAGAGCCCCTCTTCATGGATTTCCCTCTCCTCCGTTGCCCTACCTATCACTTCTCTAAATGTTTATCGCAACCTTGTATTTTTCTGGACTTCTTCTTAGTTGGTTCGTAATTTATTCCACATCATACACGGTTTCCATCCATCTCTATTAACTTTTAGTGGGCACTTTTCTATTTATATTTTTTCTCTTACCATCCTTTTTGAGTAATGGGTTTCTTTGGTTAACATTTTTTCTTCACAAAGTTCTAATGATCGGCACGTTTCACGTGTTCTTACGTACGCACTTCTTTGGCTCTCCCTGTCTGACCAACGAATAACCACAGGATCATTGGATCTCATAAGCTCCTGTTGTTTTGAATTTTAGTATAGCATACTTTAAGCTCCGGAACTCATAGCAAGGAATTTCCCCGTTGCCCTTGACTAACGATTTGAGCTTATGTGTGATACATACTTAATGTTAATTATCATTATTATGTTGTTTATTTAATGGCTCTGTCAAGTTGCATAAGCCCATATACACATTACTTATTAATCATTATGCTCTTAAAAGGTATTGTCCTAAATTTTGGTCAAAATGAATTATGTTGATTACTGAAAAGTGGATTAATTACACCGGAAATATGAAATTACTTAACAAATTAAACGGTTTCTTTTCTTTTCTTTTTTATTTATTAGTATTAATTTGTCGGATAAAAGTAATTAATGTAGGCTTTTTTTAATAGCGTATATACATAGTTATAAAAATATATATGTGTGTGTAGTATAACGTTCATTATATGGGGCGACCTAATATCCGATTAATTAATACGATATGTTCCAGTCATATTAAAAATAGTCAGACATTTCTCAGACGTCAGTTTGTTGAAATAACAGTGAAAACGTTTATTATTATTATCATTACTGTAATATGCATCTATAATAAATGAGACGGGCCAAGAATGCGTCTTTTTAATTAATAATAATATTTAACCGCACGTCAAATAGGTGACATAACCGCGTTACAGTTCGTTAAGTCGAACAGGTTTGATTTATAATCGCGGTTATCATTGTTTTATAATCATATGGAGGGGTCAGTCAGTGATGAAGCATGACAACTCCAAAACACTATCATAGCGTGGCGTAAACAAAAAGGATCAAGACATCTAGTTAGACGGGACCTATCCTAAAATAATATCAAATATTATTACCATTATCATTACCGCATACATAAAAGTATTATCAAACAGCTAGTCTGGGAATTTTATATTGAAATGAAAAAATAAGTTATTTGAGCCAATCGAATTTTTCAGCACATCAAATAATTTTTTATTTTAAATAAATTTGTATTTACTATTTCCATGGAATATCACTAATAGTAGGTGGTTTCTCCACACAAGCTAATCATGTTATTTTCTCTTGTTAGCTTTAATATTTATTGTAAAACAAAATTTACGGATTGTATTAATTATAACGTTAAATAAAAATTAAAAATTGTCTACTTATAATAATTTATTGTTTATAATTTTATATATTTTATTTGATTACAAGTTTATTTAGAATTATTATTGAGATATGTATTCAAATAATAATTCAATTTTCAAAATTATCAGGTCTATGTAATACAATACATGCAAGTACGCAGTACAATTAAAACAAACGATACATTATAGTTTAACTGATCAGTACACTGTATAAACCATATTATAAAAAACAAACAACATACTACAGTAAATCCCATTTTTTACGCACGCCCTAGGCATTCAATTGATTTTTTTAACGAAAGCAATAATTTAGACAGTTTAAAAACACGGTTTAACATTAAGATTCCTATTTTTTTAAAACAAATTAATTAACAATAGTTTTAGTTTGCAAAATTATTCCGATAAACAATAAAGCTTATTAAATATGTTCTACAACGGTTAATAGTTTATAGAAAATATAATGAAACCAAAATTGTATTTATTAAGTTTCAGGAATTATAAACATTATTTTTTTTGAGTACTCTCCTAGTTTTTTTTTTATTCTAGTTAGAACTATTAAACGTTAATACCAAATATTATCGTTTTCTATTTGCCCATCAAAAATCAGCGCCTTCACTCTTACTCTCCCATTAAATAAACAACGGTATACAAGTACAACATATCCAACGTAAAGTATAATAATATTCAGCCTTTTGTAAATATATTTTTAAACGATGCACTCAGCACGTCTACCACTAATAATTTTCAAGTAAAATATTTGTTATAAAAACATGAATTGCGCAACAACGTTATTACATCGTTTCTTAGCTAAAAAATTTGTTTTTTTCAAAAGTGAAACTTTGACACTAACCGTAACAAATGTAAAATTTCAACACTGTTGACAAGTCAACGTAGTAACAAAAACTTTATTGTAACTTTTTACAAAAATGTATACAAATATTTTAAATGATTGAACTTGGGGTTGAAAAAAGTTCGTATTAAGCATGATTATTGGGGAAGCTTAAAGATTATAGAGCTGTCGCCGACAGCTTAAATAGCAAGCAACTGAAGTATTGCAATAATGACGCGACGCCTTAGGAATAAATAAATAAATGTTTAATGAAAAAAAAAACTAGTTGTTATTGTCGTTCTTAACTGTTTTTTCTTTTCTTTACTCTCTCACTTTTTTATTCTATTTTTTCTTTTTTTTTTGTTGTACGTTATAATGCAACAAGTAGACTTAAACCATCGGTGGAAAACATACACGCACTCACACAGTAGCAGAAAACCCGAGCGTGTAATGGCAACAAAAAAAATGTATATATAAAAAAGTACATAAAAACATACACAGCCGAGTGTATATCGGATAACCCTATCTGTGCAAAACATCGGGCAGCAAACGTCCCCGCATAAATAAGACTTAATTAACCGGAGGAGCCAGGATGGCCTACGGACGCCGTTTATACATCGGCCAAAGCGCATATCGAATTTAAATAATACCCGGTTTTGTTCGCACTGATAAAATGATTTATGCACGCATGTTGTCTCTCACTAATGAGAACTTATCGAACATCTCTTCTCCCTGCTTCTCCAACAACCCAGGTACATAAAATGATAATAATATACACACGAGCATTGTTGTCGTACCCACTACAGTGTAGTGACTACACCTATGGCAATACTAGCCCGGTAAGCTGGTCATAATATATACAGCGGGGATGGACTTGGGTGGATATACATGCGAAAATCCAACACATCGGCGAGTGCACAAGTTCTAGAAGACAGAAGTACAAACTAAACAGAAAATAACAGATTTTAAGTATTTTGGCCGAATACAAAAAAAAATCAGTTAACTATGAGTATGCATTATTTTTACTAATATATGTAAAATCAAATGTATACACAAACATAATGTATTTTTTTTTAGATTTATTTTATTTTTTTTAATTTTAATTAATAATACTGTGTTTAGTTTGAAACAAGAAAAATATATAAATATGTAATGCTGCGAGTTGTCCTAAAATTCTAGGACTCGTCCTAAGGCCCAAAGGGTAGGCTTGACATCACAAAAGTTAATTTACAAAGTTCCTGCACCTAGGCATATTATTAAGTAAATTCACAGGAAA